TGTGTGGTGATTGGTGCTTGTGTTATGATTTCATTTATTTAAATTTAAGTTAGCGACCAGTAAGCGCCTTGGTTTGTGTAGTGATTGGATCTTGGGTTATTGTTTAATGTAATTTATTAATCATTGAAACTTATGAGGCTGCTGATTTTCACGTTGGGTTATGGGGTAAAATATGTCGGGATTAATTTATTAAGGTGTTGTGTATGAAATTTGGTTGAGTTATCTGGGGTTTTGCATCTTGCTTCATATAGCCAATTTAAATTTTTCGCAAGTTTGCCGGTTACATTTTGGAGCACCGATGAGAACCTCTTGAATGCTTCTTTTTCACGGCCTATTCGCTTCTCTAACACTATAGATTGGTATGTTAGTGATGGTAACTTTCCCGTTACTAACTGCAATTTTTACTGCGGGCATCCTCTTCACCCAACACTGTTATTGGCTCCGTGCTGCCCTCATTTCATACCCCCAACCCATGTTTAATCTTTTAAAAGCAAATAGTACCCGTGGCAACCACCGGCGATACCACACCCCCATTTCCATAGAACTCCGATTTCAAAACACAGCCAGCGCCAGCTCTCTCCTCTAACTTGATGCACGTAGCTGCAATAGCTGTAATAACCTAAATATGGGTGATTCTGCTGTTACTTGCTGAGATCGTCTCCGATACTCATACTAACGTGCCGTGATGAAATCGAAAACGTTAAAAACGTCAAATTGTGTTATATGTTGTTGACTTTACTTGACATATTATCTATGTACCAATATATTGATCCCTGTATTGAGACAATCGATCATTTAGAGTGAAAATTTCCATTCCAACCCATGTCCGCAACTCAATTTCACTCATGAAAGCTTTCACCGGTAAACAATAAGGCTTATATGCCACTTGGACATGTAAGCATTATATGCTCTAGCTATTGGTAATTAGATTCGTACCTTAGTCACACCAAAAATCGACAAAGACGAGCGAGTTTTCACTGCATAAATTTTTTCCTCATATTTGCACCATAACCGTGGTTTTAACAAAAATCAGTTTAAACTGGTAACTTTTTGGATTGGAAATGCTAACCAGTAGTCACTTTTTAAAGTATAGGACTAAAATGAATAAATCCTTACAACAGTAGTACCTGAAGTTGTTACCTCTCGAATAGTCAAGCTCTTCTTTTTGCGTACTTCGCGCGTACTAACATTTCATTTCGTTCCGACCCCCACGGAATAACCACTCGGTGTGCATGTGCAGGTACGCAAACTACAGTTTCTTAGTGCATTTGAGGCTAGTTAATAAATTATGGGTGGACAAGACATCCCTCCTGACAAATCTCACCCGAGATCTCAGATGAGATCTCATGCCAAATTCTCATCTGAGATATCAGGTGAGATTTCTGAAAGAAAAATAAATAAAAAAATGTTGTGTAATGATTATAATTTATACATTAATATAATGATTACCTAAAATACCAACAGTTATAGGGAAAAAAAAAAGTTCAGCTAATATGGGACATAAAATCGCGCCTCCAGTTTATCAGGCAAGCATCTTACCGCTTGGCCAGAGTGGAGGAGATACTAGGTCAACAATTTACGTCTATATAAAGAGTAAGTACCGTGTGTTATTGTTTTTCTTATTCACAACTGAATCATACAATTATTAATAGATACAATTTTTCTCAATCCTGAAAGTTATAGTTAACTAACTAGATAATATTCAGGAACATTATTTTCTTGACAAACAATATTTTCTCTCTTAAAGTTACTCTTGAGGGGGCTTTATATCCAAGTGAGGTATAAGTTTTTAATAATTATTTTAAATGTTTATTTATATGTATTAATAAGGAAAAACTACAATATAAAACAGGGGGACTTGATGTGTTGTAAATAAATTATTTTTAAAAAATCTAAATTGCTTGCGTGTATATTATCTTACTTTGAAAAAACACTTATAAAAGTTGGAAAGCCTTAAAGCTGTTCATGTTATTCCAACTCTTTAAAGCTTACTATACTCCGTAAATAATTACAGATGAGGTCATCACTGGAAACTTGTTGATACAATTCATGTTTAGTGAGTTAAATGTAATTGTTTTCCGAAAACGCAAAAAGCGAGTGAAAACCTACAGTTTCGTATGAACAATTGCACCTAAATTAAACACATGTATTGTATCAAAAAATTTACAGTAATTACTCCATCTGAAATTCTTCAAGGAGTATAATAAGTTTGAAAAGTTGGAATAAAATGAACTGCTTTAAGGATTTCCAACTTTTACAAGTGTTTTTTCAAAATAAGATAATATACACGCAAGCGATTTGGACTTTTTTAAAATAATTTATTTACAACACATCAAGTCTCCTGTTTTATATTGTAGTTTTTCTTTATAATTACATTTAAATAAACATTTACAATAATTATTAAAAACGTATGCCTTACTTGGATATAAAGCCCCCTCAAGAGTAACTTTAAAGAGAGAAAATATCGTTTGTGAAGAAAATAATGTTCATGAATATTATCTAGTTGGTTAACTATCAGAATTAAAATTGGGAAAAATTATATCTATTAATTATTGTATGATTCAGTTGTGAATAAGAAAAACAATAACACACGGTACTTACATTTTATATAGACGTAACTTGTCTGACTATTATCTCATCCACTCTGGCCAAGCGGTAAGATGCTTGCCTGATAAACTGGGGTCCCGACTTCGTGTCCCATATTAGCCGAATTTTTTTTTTTTTTTTTTTCCTGTAACTGTTGAAATTTTAGGTAATCATTCTATTAATGTATAAATTATAATCGTTGCACAAAATTTTTTATTTATTTTTCTTTCAGAAACCTCACCTGATATCTCAGATGAGAATTTGGCATTAGATCTGACCTGAGATCTCAGGTGAGAAATCACATAAGATATCAGATGAGATCTCGGGTGAGATTTGTCAGGAGAGATTGTAATACGTCTATGAGTCGTACGAGCACTACAAACTTTAAAAATTCCATTCTGAACTTATCCATTCCGACCCTACCTTTCCTCGAAGTGCCGTTTTTTTCGTTTTAGAGCAATCAATCCCAGCCAAACTTTTTTTTCATTACTGTTGGGCTTAAAAGACGAGATATGTGTCCCGGGGTTTCGTCCAATTGGCCCTTTTTCGCTACATATAGATGCAAAAACGGTGGTGCTGCTTCCAATGTTGGTAGCGACGTAGTGCACTCCATTGCAATTTTTTGAAAATCGATGTAAACTGACTTTTATAAGATTTTGTATAACTTTTGACCAGCAAATTTTATTTTGCTTTAGATACTTGTTACTGATGTTGTGTACAGTAGAAATACCATGAAAAAAAATTTTTTTAACCAACTTCTTTTTAAAAATTTTTCATGTCGATCTAAGCAAGTTACGGCAGAATGACCCGTATACTTATAACTATAATTAACAAGTGGTCGCGGTGGCGCAACGGTAGAGTTGCAGTTTCGTCGATCTCCGAGGTTAAGCTGCATTTGGCGCGGTTAGTACTTGGATGGGTGATCGTCTGGTCACCATTCAGGTCTCGCCCTTTCGCCTGTGCTCTTGATTCTCGAAGGTCGATTAACTGCGTTTCTCTGACGCTTCGTCTACGTGATCATAGGTGTGACTGAGTTGGTCCAGATGTTTATATACGTATATAAACATCTAGTCATAACTCAGGTGTACCAATGGCTAATTAACACTATGCTTGTGTAAATAAATGCCATGTCTAAGCCTCCGGGCGAAGATGAAAAAAAAAAAAAAAAAACTTTAATCAACCACAAAATAGCTATAAATAATTATTAATTGTACCTGTTAAAAGTACGTGTTTGTAGCTAAAATTTTTGCGCGAGTTTGAAAAAAAAATTGTGTCAAAATCTGATTTTGTTTGTTGATATGACAGCCTGCAATCATGGTACTGTCATTATGTGGATGATAACACTTATAAACTGAGGGCTTTAGGCACTTTCAAACAATAACAAAAAAAAAAGTTTGTTAAAATATAAACTTTTTGAATTCTGGTTAAAAATTTATGAACCCTGCAGTTTTTATGTGATCGTTTACATAATAACATCTTTCACTGCTGCTATAACATCAAAAGAAATGAGATTGAGAAACAATTTTTCTTTAAAATTTGTGCAAAATTTTTAGCTACTATGACCTACATTCTACAGATATTACTTAAAATAATTTATAGCTACCTTTTAATTGAGTAAAGCTGCTGCTTATGGGTGTAATTATAACTGTCAATTTTATACTGCAAGAGGTTACCTACCCTACACCCACAATTCCTAACTATTACTATGAATATAAAACTTTAGTCTAGCTATTTTTCTAATTTATGTTGTATCTGTAAAATTTTGATATCTATAAATCAAACAAAATTATTTAAGACTGTTCTTAGTTTACACAACTATTAGTTACTTGAATAGACCTTGAAAGACTGATGTTATGGACATCGTTATCAATCAGTTCAGCTGTGAACTAAAGTTACCTATAATTTTTTGATTTGACTTTACGATATTGATTATAATTAAGTTATCGAAGACTATTAGTTTTCAAGTACGTAAAAAGCATTGTTTCAAACAAAAGTACAGAAGTTGAATTACTATTTAATCTTAAGAAATAACTAGAATAATAAGCTGATAAAAATATTCAGAAACACTAAAGACACTTAATATTTTCTAATTCCATGCAGCTGCATTCTCCAACACATATATTCCTCATAAAGAAAAATCATATGACCTTCACTCAATTAACTAATAAACGTAAATGAAATGATGAATTCAAAAACTTGTCAACTTTCAGTAATGTGTGATTTTGACTGTTGTTAATGAGTAACTTTTACCGAATTTTAGAATGATATAGTACTTGAATACGTAAAATGAATTTAATACACAGCACAGATGATTTTTTTCAGTAAAAAGTTGTATGAATAGTAAACTAAATAGTGTCATTCAACAATGGCAACTTTGTGATTCCTACAACACACAAAACGATTTGTAAACTTACTTTTTAGACAATAAATGTTATATTCACAAAACTTAACATCGTTTAGAGTAGGATTATTTCAAAACTGTTTGCCTAAATATCAATCATCAGTCTGATTGCAACTTATCACATTAAATAATTTTTAGAATGAAAAACAAGAACGTATGTAAATGATAAAACTTAAGTATATATGAATGTACATATATAATATACTCAAATATAAAACTCAACACAAGTTTTTTTTGTAATTAATATAATATGGAAATAATTAATGAACTTCAGAAAAGACAAGAAAGATATGACTTTATTTAATTATGTTATATTAAAAACAAGAAGGCAGGATGTAATAAGACAAAAAATTATTTATAATTCAGATTATTAATAATAAAGTTTATTCATCTTATCACTATTTTTCGGTTACTTTAACACTTCTGTTAATGATTATTTCGAATCATGAGTATTGTAATTTACTGTCGCATGCTTCAATGGTAACGAAAGACAGAAAAGCTGGATACAAAACTTTTTCCAACAAAATTTAGGCATACTTGTAACTGATTGCTCAAAAAAAAATGATTTTTAAAGTTCAATTGCAATGGTAATAGCAAGTTTATATAAACCATAAAAAAACATTTTTCGATAAAGTTTTAGGCCGCGGTTACATGGCTGCGGCAGCGCGTTGGGTTAGGCGGATTCAATATGGAACTTTTTCCCTGAATCGTATATATAGCTATACAATCTATAGTAAAGGTTCCGTCGAGCAGACAGCACAGCAGTTAAGGGGCATTGCCAAAGACACGCAAAAATTAAAAATTGTAATATAAATAACACAAGTGCCTATTACCCAATGACCAGGGGTGCTTTTAACAACTGGATAGTGTCTATTCGGACAAGTTCCGTGTAAATTCCGTGCGTTCCGTGTGTACTCCGTAGAATAGTCCGTATGCAATCCGTGTAGACAACATCTAGATGGCGTGCCTTTCCGTTGTCTTCCGTAATCTATCCGTAAAAATCGTTGTCTACAATACCTCACATAGTTTCTAGTTAAAACAGAGATCCGTATACTTCCGTTAGAAAAAAAAGATGTCTCTATCAATACGTGAAGGCAATACCAAGTCCGTAACGATCCGCAGTGTTGGGCAAGGAGGATATGATTTTGCAATTTTATCACTAGGACCTATATATAGCTACAGATCCTAGTGAGAAAAATGCAAAAGCAGGATAGGAGGGGGAAGGAGGCCAGCGGTTCTCCACAAATGTGACTGGCCAACTTGTACGCAATTCAAATTGGCAATGTGGTGCAAGCAAGACGCAAATTCCCAGATAACTCGGAACAAATTACATAAACAATAACTTAATAAACTAATCCCGAACTATTTAACCTAATAACCCAATGGGCCATTAAGCAGCCTTATGAGTTTTAATAAATAATAACATTTCTTAATTAACAAAGCAAGTGCCAATCTCCACACGACCCAAGGACCTAACTGGTTACTTTAATTATTTATGATGAATAAAATAATATCGCAAGCGCCTATACCCACACAACCGTGGTAACTTACTGGTCGCTAACTAAAATTACTATAAATAAAATAATCAAGCAAGCACCTATCCCCACACAACCCGGGGCACTTAATAGTTGCTTTAATTATTTATTATGAATTAAATAATAATGCAAGCACCTATACCACACAACTAGGGGAACTTACTGGTTGCTTTAATTATTTTTAATTAATACAATGATACCGCAAGCGCCTATCCCCACATGACCCAAGGCACTTAGTGGTAGCTTTAATTAATTATGATTAATAAAGCGATACCGCAAGCGCCTATTCCTACACGACCTAAGGCACATACTGGTAGCTTTAATTATTTATTATCAATAAAATAATAACGCAAGCACC